AAATAAAAAATTATATTAATATTTAATAATATGTTTATATACAGTATATATTATTTAATATACACTTATATTATTAAATATAAACAAATGTTAAAATGATATAAATAAATAAATAAATAAATAAATAAATGTAAATATTATACAATTATCTTGTTAAAAATAATATTTAAAAACTTCATGAATAAAAAAAAAAGTATACCACTGTTAAATATAATCTTTAGCAAATCTCAACAAATCTTTACAAACAATGCATTTTAATGTTGTGATGCCTAAATTGTCTTGCTGCATTAAAAAATGTTTAAAAATACAGTAAAACTTTGAAGGTGCGACACTCACTTGTGTGAACGCTGTGCTCCTTAGAGAGAGCACAGGGAGATGCTTCGTGTGGAGGCAGAGAGAGAACACAGACAGAAGCTCCAAGACCAGGAGAAACGACATAAAAGCTGGACCTTTTGCTTCGGCTGAAGATGAAGCGCCTGGCACGAGATCGGCAGGAAGAGCTGGCTCTGGATATGAGCATCCTGGAGCAGCTAATGACTGAAGAGAGATGAAAAGCAAGATGAGGTCCTCAAAAAGGTTAGATTTCAGCCAACACTGTGGCCATTTTTGACCATCACTTAAAGAAATGTAAATTTCTCATTTTTTATAAAATGCTCTTCCTAAACAGCTGGAGTTTCAAGAAGTGCAGCGCAGGTACAGGGAGTATCTGGCAGAGCAGCTGGAAGAGCAGAAACGGCAAGAAGCTGAGACGGAGCAGCTATTTGAATCAGAGCTGCAGCAGGCCTGGGCCCGCAGGGAGGCACAGTGGCGTCAGGAAAAGGCAGCAAGAGACCGACTTATGAAGGATGTCATAGACACTCGCCGACTGCAGATCCAGGAGAAGTGTAAGAAAAATGCTTTAAAAACAGCCATAATATCAATATATGTGTGTGTATATATATATATATATACTTTTTTTATTTTATATTATATATTTTATCTACAAAAACATTTCATTATATATATATATATATATGCACACACACACAAACACTAAAAGATATATATAATGTATCATATAATATATGGTATATTATGATTATTATATTAATATAAAATATATATTATGACAGTGCTATTTTTCTCTTTCTTTAGTAAATGAGAATATGCTGAAACAGGCTGAGCCTTTCAAAGAGAGAGAGGAACTCGACAGAATCCTTGAAGAGAACAAATTGCTGGATGAAGAAGAAAAGATTCGGTAGGTTCCTGTCTGTCAAAGTTGTTCAACTTAATCATACCTACATACAAAAAATAATATTTTGTTTCCTAAATTTCCAGTTTAAAGGAGGCCACTCAAGAATATAAGGCTGATTTATTGGCTCAGATGCTGCACCGCCAGCGCATTCATGAAGCAGAACAAGCTGAGAAAGAACACAAGTTCCAGAGGGGTCTATGGTACCAGGAGCAGTACAATAAGAAGATCCAGGACATCCTCTCAAGGCCAAGATCTGGAACCACAGCAGTTCATCTCTTCAGGAGACGAGAGCGCCCCTGCTCCAACTTTGGTGCACAGTTGGCATAAATCCAACACATTCTATTCTCAACATTATTCATAGCATGAGTATAAAATATCCTAAAAATTATATAAAAATAAAAAAAACTTTCAGTGAACTTCCATGCTTAAATACCTTACATGCTAATTTCTGAATAACTAGATGTTGTATATTTTACACATTCGTGTGATCTGTGATCAGATTCATTATCCCTGTGCTAAAGTTTGTATTCAGACTTAAATACAAGTCTGACTGGATTAACTTGTTTTGAGGTAGATATTTGCATCTTTAAAAGTTAATTATTTAAAGAAAGCTAATCATTTCAATGAATAGACTGTGAATAGTGTCCTCTTTTTGCAAGTCAGTCAGACATCCTTATACAACGTGTCTAACACCAAGCATCTAATTAAAAACAATGGGAAACTGTCCAGGGTTGCTATGAAACATAGTATCAAAAGGGGTCAAAAGGTTAAAGTTAAAAAATGACACAGTTAACATGCAGATTATTTCCATAATGATTTAGCAACAAGGTTTTAGACCAATAAGCTGCTGGGTTAAATGATTAGTGGGTGAATGAGTGGGTGGAAAACTTTTGACTGCAAATACCACGGCAGCTCGTATATGGTGAAGAAGTTAGTCAACACCCAATACCTTACCTAGGAGTGGTATGGGTGTGGAGCAATTGGTCTGATGTCATTTTTGTCATTTTTCTTTCTCACCTGGCTGTTCAGACAAGTTTAACTTTTACCCAAGCCAGTTTGAGACTACAAAATTCGGCAAAGTAACGCTATACAATCTTTTTAAGCATGACATGAGGAATATACAACAGCTCTGATGATCATTGTGTCTGTGGATATTTGTATAATTTCTAAAAGAAGATGCGTGAACATGAACTTTATGTCAAGGTAGGTCAGGCATTGCTACTCTTTCATTTTAGATTTCCACATCACATTAATTACAGTATGTGGTCCACTGAGAGTTACAGGTTACAGCTTTATGAATAAATACATTAAGCTAAACACGTTAATGCATCTGTTAATGTATTTTTTCTGTCTTTATTCAGGATGTGAACAGTACTTAGGCTTTTCTCCTTCTGAATTTATGTTTCATCCTATGGTTTACTCATGGCTTGTGTCCGCTCTGCATTTTGAAGATAAGAGTAGAGAGGCTGCTGTGTTGCTCAGCTTTGTGTCTTTGATTAATGATGCAGACACTGAGCATACACAGTCCACATTATCTGATTAGTCAAGGCAGCTTCTGCTCTCAAATATTTCTGAGAAACACAAGAAAGTACATGTGTATATATAGAGTCTTGTGTTCAAATTCACATTGTATGAAATGGGCCCAATTAGTTATGTAATCTTGGTGCAATGATGTGTTTCTAAGCATTTAATAGCTTATACTGTGTAATATGTAGACTATTTTAGCACTATGTATTTCCAGGTCTAGATGGAGACAAAAAAGTAATTTAAAGTTATAATAATTTAATGGGGTAAACATTCATGTAATCTAAAATGCTCTCAGATGACTGTCAAAAACACACTGCATTTAGTAATATATATATTTTTTAAATTTTTAAATTTTTTATTTTTTTTGTCTGGATCTATTAAGCCATTCAAAAATTATAAATAAAAATGTAAATAAGACTGCAGTTAATTAAAAAATTGACTTGAATACTCATTTTCTAGAAGAAATATTTATTCAATTTTTGATTTAAAAGTAAATTTAGAATTTTTACTTTTGACATTTTTGTTTGGTCTAAAGGCAAATATGTATGGAATAACTGTCCAGAGAAAAGAAACAGTCTCTAAAAAAATTACATTATTGGAAAAAGTTGATATTGTTATTTCTTAAAAACAAAATAAGCAGCTATTTTACATTTAAATTTGCATTTAGTCAATTAGCAGATGCTTTTATCCAAAGTGACTTACAAATGAGGACCAACACTAACAATTTATCATAAGACCCAAACTCAGCTATCAGTATTCACAGTATATAATGGCAAGTTTTCAGTTTAAGCTAGTGGTACACAAGCTAGAGCAGAAGTGCAATACAGAAAAATAAAGAAAAACTTGGGGAAAAAAATATTGGATTTATTAAAGGAAGTGCCTTTGTTTAGGATTTTGGTTTGTTTTAAAATATTGTCATATGATAAGTAAACTAGAGAGGATCTTTTTAGGCCCTCATCTCTTTTTTTTTCAATAAGTTTTTAGATTTTTAAAAGTGTTCTCATTTTTTTACTTTTGGACATCATTATTTGTCATTCACACATACGTGTATATTTACATCTCATTTACAGCTATGAGACAAATGCTTGTAGCTTTGCATTTCTCCTCATTTGGTGTTCAGAACTAATTTAAATGTAAACGACACTTTTACAAAGGCAAACGCTTTAAAAATGCACTAGTAATATTTTCTTATTGCTGTCTAAATAGAAACAAGCGGACGGTCATTAAATCTTCACTTAGAATTAACCACGACATTCTCATTTCCGTCACAATGTTATTTTTAGTGCAGTGCTGTAATTGGCCAGAGGGTGTCGCTGTAGACACGCTGAATTGTGCCATTGATCCATGAGCCTCTGTCACTGCGGTCATGTCAGTCGGCATGATAGCAGTCCAAGGAGAAAGGAAGCAACTTCACTCCTTCTTTTTGACAATTACATACTTTTTCTCATATGTAACCGGTACCTTTTAGTCAGTATTATGACTCAGTGATTAGTCGTGGTCATCGCTTATTTTAACTTGATTTTTAATATGTGGAGGAGGAGATGAAAGGGGCTTGTCCAACTCAACTTCAATTATGGGGACAGACACCTGCCGTGATCAGGCGCGGCTAACGCGCTAACATTAGCAGTCAGAGGGAGTTCAAAAGTACAAACCAGCTCGACAGGACGACATGGAGTGATGACAGGACACAGGAAACCTGGATTATAAAACTTGTTGGGAATATCGAATATCGTATTCAAACGGAGATATATTAACCTTACGTGTGCTGATGTAACTAGTTTAGGTGGGAGCTGCTCTATTTGGGATCATGTCTGTGACTGAACTCTACTCTAGGGTGAGTTGTTGGAATTAGTTTTATTTCACCATGAAATGGCTAAATAGTTAATAATATTAGACAGGTGAACAGTAATATAAGAATGTATTTACTGTGTGAGGTAAACGACGCGAAACGCCTTCACCAATCTTAAATCCTCGTTTAATGTAGTATGACTAGCTTGAAATATTTTAATTTATCTCAAAACATCATAAAAGCTCACAAAAGGTAATATTCAACTATTTGACGCCCTGCAGTTCTACGTAACTGCCTTTAACTTCCTATAAAACACAGGGAAATGTCGCGGACAGGTGTGTGTGTTTCTGTTGGTTTCGGTCTGTAACGTTAGGTAGTTTCGGTGTTCGCTGTGTTTCGAAAACCAATTGAGCTCCCTATCTAGACAGCATCTTTGAGCGCGTTCAAATGCGTCTGTGTTGTCAAATAATGCTGTCTATATAGGCAGCTCACTAGGTTAGGACAGTGGTTCCCAACCCTGGTCCTGGAGGCACCCCAACACTGCACATTTTGCATGTCTCCTTAATCAAACACACCTGATTTAGGTCATCAGCTCATTAGTAGAGACTCCAAGACAGGGGTGCCCAAACT